CAAGCAAAGTATTTACCTCTATCTAATTTATTTGCAATAGATATATTTGATTCTAACTTTTTTTTACCTAATTTAATTAATTTTAAATATTGAAGCACAGCTGTAAAATCATTATTTTTAAGCTGCTTCTCTAAGTCACTAATTGCAACTTCTGTCATTTCTTTATCATTCTTTTCAATGAGTTCCTCAGAACTTTCATTTCCACTACTAACGTCTGCTTCACTTTTTTCAAATAATGCAGTTATTAATTGACCATTTTTTTCAGCATTTTTCTTAGCCTCACTTTGTTTCCGGCAATAAGTTCTGGAAGAATTACCTATATAACACAAAGATCTTGATGATGAAGTGTAATTTTTCATGGATTCATTAAGGATAACAATATATTTTACAGAATTTTTGTCTAATTCTCTATCTATTCCTCCTTCAAACCAACTTTCTTCAGACTCTTCATGTGAAAACTGTCCTAAATTAGTTTCCAATTGATTTTCATTACCAAATGAGCTATTATTTTTTTTGCCTAAAGCAAGTTTATTTAAATGTGCTTTTTGCTTTTTAAGTTTAGGCATGATTAATTGATAAATTTCAAAAAAGATTTAATTGACGATCCGTCTATGAATCAGTGAGTGTTATATAGTGATCGGCGGGGGAAAATTGACCAAAAAAACACTAATCGGTAACCTTTTATAAAAAAAAGTTACTATACTTTTGTCTTGCAAGATAAATTTTTTTTGTGCATACAAATAAAATAAATCTCAGAGAACATATTTATGTATTTTTTATTGCTATTAATTATGTAAAGAAAAAAGTTTTCTGTTTATGATATGTTGATTTTTTGAGTTTTTGTATTGAAAAAATCTGATTTTTCCGTGTAACATTTATTAATTTTTATAAATAAAGAAAATGCTTTAGACGTTCTAATAAAAAAATAAAAGTGATACGAAATGTTTATGATTATTTGAAATGTTTATGACTATTTGAAATGTTTAAGACTATTCGAAATTCCATCCATTACCAAAAGTCATGACATAGTCAAAAATGTATTTTTTAATTAAAAAAAAATTGATATATATAAATATATATATTATTGTATTTCCATGCTATTATTGTCGTTATTGTTGCTATTGTCTACATCTTTATTGTCACCATCATCTTCATCTTTATCATCATCATTATTGTCATCTTTTTATAAAATTTGCAATTTAATTTTTGAATAAATATATATTTAATAAAAAATTTATTTAATAAAAAATAGTATTTACTTGTTGTTAATATATATTTGACATGTTTTATTTCTGGTGCGAATGCCATGAATGTGGAATCATTTAAGGACACTTCACTCCATCTATTCCCAAGTTTTAAGTAACATCCAATAACATCATCTTTGAAATCCATAAATTCTTCTATACTGGTCAATAAAGTTTCAAATGTATCATGAGGATCAGTGATTACTGTTTGGAATTTTTTGTTGTTGTTGTGATATATGGTTAAATGCAAGGTTTTGATATTCATTATCAAAAGTTTGAAAAGCAGAGGAAAAACGAAAACAATTTTTTTTTATGTTTATAGAATAATATTACCTTTGTTAAACAGGACTTGTTGGGTAGTGTATTCGCATGGTTGTTAACAAACAATCTAGTAACATGCTCCTAGATGGGAGATCGAATACAATGGAAGACAAGTCCTATTATTATTTTTGAGTTTATTATTAAATAAAAAAAACTATGAATGCAATAATTAATATATACTATAGTTTTTTTTTTATTTTTTACTCAAAATATTCGATTTTTTGATTTTTTTTGCCAATCATTTAATATGAAATTTCCCCCGCATTTCCATAATAAATTGATTGACATTTCTCTGATTCATAGACGGATCATCAATTAAATTTTTTTGAAGCAAAAAAAAAAAAAAAAACGCGTTAAAAAATTGAATTTATATTTTGTCACGTGACAAGTGTAACATGGAATCCAAGTTAATTCCAGCCAAATATAGCAATTTTGGTAAGATTTATGGTGGACAAATTGAGACCAAACATAGAATAATGATGATTTTTAAAAGCTCATAGCTCCATACAGAATGGGATTTTAAAAAAAAACTCTTCATTTTTTGTTAATTCAAGCTTCAAACTAACTGATTATGAAAAGCTTTTTGATTTATTTTATTTGTTGACAGACTAGATAGAATTAAAAAATTTCATGTAAAAGTTGCCGGGACTAGACTAGATGCACCATACATAAATTATAACAATTACGATCTAAATCAATAAAAAAAATGGTAACGTACGAGAAAATCAAAGTGAATTGAACAAAGCAAGAGAAGATTATGTGAAAGCAGAGATGAAGTTGAAGGTGTGGGAAGAAGGAGAATATGAGGGAAGTGGCTGAAGTTGAGGAGAAAGTTAGATGAAAAATGAAAGGATGAAGGACAGAAGAGAAAGTGGGAGATAGGGTAAAGAAGAAAAAGAAGAGCTAAAGAAAGTCAAAAACAATTGGAAGGAGCAGGTGAGGGAATGGGAAAGGTTAAGAGAATTTGGTGGAGGGAAAGGTAATGAATAAATAAAAATGTACAAAAAACTATTTTCCATCTCGTTTATATTTATTTGAATGTATATTGCTTTATGTAACATCTCTTCGATTTATCTATCCTAATTTTTCCTCTTTGGGTTTAGGCAAAAGCGTTTAATGGATTCTGAAGAAATTGATATAACTTCAAAAAAACTTAAAGCTATGTATGATGTATATACCTTCAAATAGAATTTAATGTTAACATAACTTTATTATAATAGTACAAGAAAAAATATACAGTCGAACCTTCATTTTAACGGATTTTTGTTTCCACGGATTTTATATTTAAATCATGTTTCAATGGACAATGGATTTTTTGGTAGGATTTTAGTAATAGTAATAGTAATAAGTACAACGGATTCACATGATATAGATTTTATAAAAAAAAAACAATTACTATGTTAAGATTAATTCATTGCTAAATAATAATATAAACAAATTGAATAATTCTCAAAAATATCAATATGATTTTACAAGAATAATTCTTGCATTACTATTATTACTAAATAATAATATTAATCAAAATTTTCCATATTTCTAAATAATGATTTTACACGAATAATTAAACACACATCACTAAATAATAATATTAATCAAATTTTCCATATTTCTAAATTGATAATAAATAAATATCTTCTAATAATTCTATATAATCAACATTTCCTTTGATTTCTTTAAATTAATAAATCTCTAAATTCTATGAAATTAAAATGTCTCAACAACTATCTTCTTCTTCCAAACTGCTTTTAAGCTTTTAATTCATTATAATCTGCTTGTATATTATTTTGTTCAAGAAAATTAAAATCATTGAAAAAAAAACAATAAAATCATATAGTATTCAAAATTCAATACAAACAAACATTACTAGTTTTTTCAGTGAATAATTGACTATTAATTAGTATTTTAATTTATTAAATATTATTATAAAAAAAATTTTATTATTGTTATTGTTGATCCTGTAGATCATTATCTCATTTCATTTCATAGATCTGTTGGAATGAGGTTTGACTGTAACAGAAATAAAAATACGGATCCACCTTCAGTAAACTCAGTAAACTCTGAATACTGAAAATTTCAAAATCTTTTCAAAAACCATTGTCCTAATTTTAGTTGGTCTGTCAATTTTTATCATAATTTTTTCAACAAATTACAATAATAAGAATTTAATTGTATCTAAAAATGTTCTTAAATGTGCTAGTAATTTTCTTAAGGAAATGTCAGATGTATATAGAAGAGAAGATGGCTGACAGATGATTGTGGAGAAGTATATTTATGACTTAAATGTGCACACAATGACCCTTATATTCAAGGAAATATCTCTTATGCTAAATATTGGGCACAAAAAAAGGTAAATTTTACATCAAATTTATATATCTACTGTAAGTTATAAAATATTTATTTAATAAGTTTGATATTTTAATAGAACTCACCTTGATAACAAAATGAGGAAAAATATTCACAAGTCAGACAAAACTAGGCAAGACTCATACCAGATTCAACTTTATTGATTTGAAAACTGGTATAGAAATTGTTGTTGTAGAAAAGCAAAAACCACTGTGATAGAAGATCTTACTAAAGCTCAAAAGGATGTTAAAAAAAGCAATATTACTACAAGATCAAATAACATCCATATATAAAATGTTGGCCGAAAATGATAGGTCTGATGAAATAAAAAAAATAAAATGTTATGGAATACAAATCTCTGGTAATTGAAAGAAGATTGTATAATTTCTTGATTTTCCAAGGCTGTTATTAATTTGTGATATGAATATTTAAAATTTTAGGTTTAGAAGTAAATGCATTTGTAATAAGGTTTCTGGTCCAAACTGTTTTCTCAAAGCCCAAATTAGTTTGGGCAATTTGGCCCAATTTTGGCTAATAACAAAAAGTAGTTTGGGCTTATAAAAAAATAATTTCTGCCCAAAGTATTTGGGCAATTTCAGCTACTAATAGAAGCAGTTTTGGCCAGAGATCTTAATTGTAATGGATTTGAAATTTCCAGAACTCTCTATTTTTCATGAAATTATGTCATTTAAGTTACCTTGTACAATTCTTGGCTTTAACATGTTGAGCAATTCACTTTTATACCTGATTCAATTAAGGGTAAGGGTTTTTTATTTGTTTAAATAGAAATCACTTTCACTTTAAGTGACTAACTATAAATATTTATAGTCATTAGTAAATCAAAACCAAATTGTAATGAAAAATATTCTTAATAATCAAGAAGAGAGGCAAATTACCCCTCCAATATCACTAATTCGTTGGTAGAAATTTCACCAATCACATTGCAGATTAGAGATAATGAGAAGAAAAGAGAGAAGAAAAATAGTAAAAACTTTTTTTAAAAATCAATGATTTTAAAATATAATTATTCATAGTATCTTCATGATTTTGTTGATGTTAGCATTCCTGTATCTTTAAATGAATATTTATATACTAATCTAAAACACATAAATCATCTAAAATAAAAAAATACATGATTAAAAAAATTTATGAATGAAGAAATTTGATTTAAAGCTATTATTCATAATGTAGATTTTATTCAAAATAAAACTCTAATCAAATAGAAGCATGTTTAAATATAATACACAATTAGATACAATAAATTCTATATTTGCTATCAATAAATTATTCTTCACCAGAGAGAAGAAAAAACTAAATTATTATTATTTAAATTTTTAGAATTAGTAGAGTAGATAGATCCTTGACATCATTTAACATGAATGAAAAGTTTTAAAAGACAATTAAAAACAAGCTTGAGCATACTCTTGTTTAATTTATAATTTTGGATTTATCACTCCAATCAATGTAGAAAATTCAATGTCTGGAATGTCTGGGTGTAACATTACACACCAATCAATTTTTAATTTTTTGAGATAGTTTCTAAATTTGTACTAGTTACATGACGAAATTTCAACCAATTATTTTGTATGGATTAGTAGTATATAGTATCCGTCGGATATTCGGATATTCACTGATCATCTTTTCACAAAATTTTGATATTTGAATACTCAGTCATCAAATAATTTTGACATCCGAATACTCAATTGTCAAATAACTTTGATATCTGAATAAATAGGAGAGACCGTCCTATATAAGGAATGGATTTTCACAATTGATTTCAATTTTTTTATACAGTTTAAAATAATTTTACAAGGATATCATGTAGCCCATTCTTGCAGCATGGTGGACATTCAAATATCACGTAAAATGTTACACAGATTATTTATATTGTTTAAAATAATCAACCAGTCCCATCAATTAAAGTGGGTACAAGTGTACTAATTAATGACTGTTCAAAATTCAATACATTATTCTCCTAGTTGTTTTATACAAACTGTCAAGAGATCACAGAGAAGATCACACTTTTCAAAATTGCAATCTATTAAATGCCACCTAAAAATCAATTCTGCAATTACTGTAAAGAAGAAAAATTCTCAACATTTAGAAATGTTACTGAAGAGGCTAAGAAAAAAGCTAACAAGGGAGAATTCTTTGTAAATGTTGGTGATTCTCTTTGTTCAAATTGTTATAATTGTGTGGTGCAATATGACAGGAATCAAAAATACAACAAGAAAAATGATAACAAGCCATTTAAAAGAGATAAATCAACTGAAAATATTGCAACTGATAATAATAATTCTTTAGCTTCAATTGAAGAATTACAAATTGAGATAACAAAATTAAAAAAAGAAATAGAAGCTCTTACAATGTATTCAATAAATGAAATGACAGGTAAATGATTTAGAATATAAATATATTGATGATAATAATAATGTAGCCCATTCTTGCAGCATGGTGGACATTCAAATATCACGTAAAATGTTACACAGATTATTTATATTGTTTAAAATAATCAACCAGTCCCATCAATTAAAGTGGTGCCAATCCTTCTTTCAACAATTGTTCCGTGTATTTATAACCATCACAAGTTAAATATGTCAACACCCAAGCAACCTCTGAAAGTACTTCGCTCATCTCTTCAGTTGCAAGATGCTGTAAAAGTAATTTTGATATTCCTGCAGAAAAAAATTCATCCAATTTAGGATCAGGGCCTCGTGCAAGATTAGAAAGTGCAAAACATGCTGTTTGAACAAGGTGTGTGTCCTAAATAAATAAATAAATAAATAAATAAATAAATATATATATAAATACATATATATAAATATGTAATACTCTTTAATTATAAGCTAAATTATAATTCTTTACATTGGAATCAAGTAGATTGATTAAAGGAACCAAAACTCCATTTGCACGTAATAAATTTCTACATTCAGGATTTTCAATGGCAATATTACCAATTGCCCATGTTGCCTGATCTTTAAGAGACTACATTTGATTTTATTAATATAAATAAAAATATTTTAATACCAATATTAATATATATATTTATATATTAATATATTCTATACTTACTATATTTTCACCATCAAGAAAAGAAATCAAATACGGAACTGTTGTTAATGCTTTTTGAACAAATTCTTTATTTCCAGCAGCAATATCTTTATTTTTGGACGGGGAGGGAGTGGGAAATATACAAATCATTTAATTACAAATAGTTGCAATAAATAAATTTACTTTTTGCTTATTTTTTAAAAAAAATAAAGAAATCTATATATGTACTTGTGACGCACCAAGTAGCTTGTAATTGTTCTTCTGGATCTATTCCTGATAAAAATCTCTATAAATTACATATGTTTTAAAAAAATTTGCAATTCAATTACCATCATCATTATCGTCATTATCTTTAACATCATAATATAATTCACAATAAGACTATCATTACATACTGTCAACATTTCAATACATTTTCCTTTAATAACAAAACCTTTTAAATTTTCTGAAGGATCCACAAGATATTTGCTTAATTGCTTAAGGTTAGAGAGACGAATATTACGACTTATTCCCTAAATTTTACAGATCCAGATTTAAATTAATTTAAAATTAATTGCTTTCCTTCTTTCTATTTATTATCTTTCTTTTTACCAACATTTAAACCTGATTTCAATTTTTCAATATCTTTTGGACTCAAATCAAATTCTGGTTCTTAAAGATCAATAAGAAGCAAAGGTTTTAAATAAATAATAATAATACTAGCAATAGAGCAATTATAAATTATAATTATGAAAAATACCATCTTCATCATCTTTATAATCATCCAAATGATGTTTAAATCTTTTTGCAGTGATAAGTTGTTCACGATGTTTCCTACGAAGTTGTACGTCAAGTTCTATACGTTTTTGTCGTAATTCTACTGGTGACTTTAAAGGGTTATGTTTATAATTAGCTTTATGAATAACAGTCGAGGGTGGTGGATGTGTTTTAGTTTGCTTTGGAGGACTAGAAGCAAGAAATTGAAAAGTATTTTTGCTTTCGTTATTAATATTGTTGTTGTTGGCAGTAACAGATGTGAACTCCATTTTGAAAGATTTAAAATCTATAGAAGTTACACGATTATCTCGCGATCCACCTGTTTAAGGATAAGATAGTCACACCTCTACCAATCAAAAACGAGTGTACCCCATATACAAATTTGTAAATATTTACAACTATCTGCTGATAATTTTCATGTTAGGTTAGCATGCTCCGTTGAATTTTATTAAGTTCTAGAAAGGAAGGGATTGGTTGATGCATTCAAAAAACGTTGTGTGTCGAGTTCACGTTTCACAGATAACCTTTTTCTTGTATGTTCCATGTCCATCTTAAATTTTATTGAGTGAATTCAACTTTTTATTCCTTTTTTTTTTACACAATTTCTCAAGGAGAGAGAGGATTGTTTTGGTATTTATTATTTGGGCATGCTTGTGTCACCGATTAAATTTGGGAGAGCGTATTTTAATTGGTGATAACAATTATTTTTGTTTTGCGTGGATCAGAATGAA